TTATTAACAATTACTATTAAATATACCTATACAAAATAAATCTGATTTTAAGATTACTCTTGATGGAATATACTGCAAAAAGTTTTATCTCTATATCCTGAATTCTTAATTGACTTACAGAATCAAGTCACAATCACACTTGATCCTGAATAATATACTTGAATAATTATTTTGCTAAAATGCTACAAGGATTATTGAAATCATTAGTTAATCAGCTCTCTACGAACCTCTCAGATATTATTCAATCCCAAATGAACAATCTAATAATATGTCTTCAAATATTCTCTAAAACTGTTATGCTTAAACTCCCTATGATTAATACTATGCCTTCTCAACTATCAACATATACATGAGTAAAAATAATAGTATCAAATGGTTTTACTTCTTTATCACTGGTTCAGCTGAAATTGGAAAAACTTTTGTTATTAACATAATCAAAAATATCTTTATCCAAAAATTGCAACCTTATTTTCTTCTTGCTTCCACTGGTATAACAGCTTAAAATGTAGGAGGAACTATTATCCATTTAAAATTACACATTACATTCACATATAATAGATTTCTCATACGTGCCTATATAAATAATGAACTGAGAACTTTTTTAAAGAAAATTAATCATTAAAGAAGTACCTATAGTCTCTGCTGAACTTTTATATTTCATCTTGAACATATTTACCAACCTTTATAGAAATACTCTTGCTTTTGATGGTCTAAATATCATAGTAGTCAGAGTTCTAGTTCAATTTCTACTAATTAATGGTTAACAGGTATTTCACACAGATATCTAACCTTGTTTTATTTATTCTTAAGAATTCTACATCATTAAAGTCAAGATAAAGAATTTTACTCTATACTAGAAGATATCTAAATAAGAAACATTTCTGACAAAATTTAAACAAGATTAAAACAGTGACATTCAGTATTTTTATTTCACCTGTTTACTGACATTTTACTTAATACTACACATATTGTTAAATTTAAAGAAAATGCTTATCAGATTAATAGAATAATATGCAATCTTTTTCCAATTGCTACGAATAAGTTCATAATCTCACAAGCTATAGACATTGTAAATGCTATGCAATAAGAACTTTTATTATTAAATCTCATGTTTAAACTAAAAACAAACCTTTTGCTATCTATTTGTTTATAACCAGATGTATGAGTAATATATCTAAACAACTCTCTCATTTAATATAGTATATGTAATAGTACAATAGGTATGGTTACTGATGTCTGTTCTTCTGAAGAATATGCTTAGATTGCTTTCTCTATTAGAGGCTCAATCATTGATATTGATATTTACAAACATACCCATTATTTTGAAATAAATGGAAACAATTACCATTGTATTCAATTTCCTCTTCAAAATTGCTTTACTTTGACTGTTTACAAGACACAAGACTTAACTTTACTAAGTGTATCTCTAGCTTTAGACAGTAACGTCTTCTCATCTGATCAAGCTTATGTTTCTCTAAGCTAATGTTCTACTTGGAATAATGTTAAAATCTCCTACCTGGCAAATATCAAAGATTATCAAATATTTCTAATACAAACCCTCATTTAATTTCATAAATATTCTATATTTACTTTCTTTTTAACTTATATATTTCTCATATTCTCAAAAATTCAATTCAATTTTTTTAGAAAAAAATTCAATTTTACGTTTCAAAAAACTTTATTTAATATACTCTAAAAATCTTTTTTACATCATTTGTTAAATAAGATAAATAGAATACTGCAAATTTTATAAATCTTATCAATAAAAAATTTTCGATATAACTATCTATTATACTGATCATATAGTAAATCAATACATTTGGTCAGTGATCATGTGCACTTGCACTTTCACTTTCACTACGTATATCGGATGAAAAAGTACTGGCTAGTTGATAGAATAAAATTATCCATATATAAACCCGATGCCAATTATTCCACCGGTTTATAAAATGATGAATTATGGAAATTCACGGGATTTGCTGACAATTTGAGTATTCTTATTTCAACCAATCAGAATCCTTGACAACAAATACTTAAATACGAGCTTTTTTCTTCCAATTTTGATGTTAATGCAAATGGAGATAAACGAGATACTGGACGTAACAAAAGTAGATCCTACAACAACAACAATTGAAAATACTGAAAATAATGGATATTTTTCTGTATTTCAATTTGATTTTACACAAAAACTTAGTTCAGTATGTTCTACTAAAAAGCAATTTAGTAGTTCAGTACTAGATTGTTTAAAACATAATAAAATGTTCGAAAATTTGGAAGATATGTATATACCAAATGCGTCTGAGGGAAATTTTTTTAAAAATGCGAAATGGTAAGTGTGAAGTTGATTAAATATGTTAATTAAGTAAAAAAACCTACCTTTTTTCTGAAGGAAAACTGATATTTACAGTTGCTGCAAATATTTATTATTACGGAAGGTCACCAGACGGTGCATGTATATTAACTTCATCGAATGATAATATACTAAGAATTTTTGATTTGTGAGTATAATTGGAATGATTCTTTATTTCTCTATTGATTTATACTAATTTCTTGAAAATTAAATAGACCTGTGAATGTTCTAGAAACTGCTAATGGTAGTTATAATTTGTTATGTAATATAAACAAAAAAAATCAAAGGACTTCATTATAATCTTGAATTACAGAACTTGATTTAAATTCGGTTCTGACCTGTCATGCGGGAGAAACTATATATGATTTTTGCTGGTATCCGATGATGTCTAGTCAAGGTAAATAAGTTATACATCTATTCGATTCAAAACTGTTAAATAATGAGGTTAATGATAGAATTAAAAAGATCCGGTCACTTGTTGTTTTCTCTCGTCAAATCGTGAACACCCGATACAATTATGGGATGCCTATACTGGCAAGGTAAAAAAAGTTCACGAAAAAGTTCACGAAATATGTCAGATCTCATAATAAACAATATATCATTAATCCATTCTATATTTAGGTAAGATGTTCTTATACTATAATTGATCACCGAGATGAAGTTGTAGGACCCAACGCGTTGACTTTCAACTTGGATGGTTCAAAGTAAATTATCAAAGCCATATTTCCTATCAACTATATTCAATTTTAAAATTTTTTTTTTGCTTTTCAATAGAATATATTGCGGATACAAAAATATGATTAAGATTTTTGACTCTCATCGTCCAGGACGTGATGGGGAAGATTGTAAAACAACTCCTTCACGTAAAAGTAAAGAGGGACAAAAAGGTAAAATAATTGTTTATTTTAATACTTGTCAAGAAGATTTATTAATTAGATTTATTTATTGCAGGAATTATTTCATGCTTGTCATTTAATCCTGATAGATCAGGTTTATATGCAGCGGGATCATATTCACAAACGATTGGATTATATGATGAATCAAATAATGAATTGTGTTGTGTTTTGCAAGGGACAAAAAAAGAATTAATTGGAGATGTAACACAAGTATGTAAAATTTTAATTCTATTTTATCTATCAGCTAAATACAAATTTAACTAAAAATTGGAACTTAGGTTCAATTTTCTCGAGATGGAAAGTACCTTTTTTCAGCATCACGAAAAGATGATTTTATACGTTGTTGGGATATTCGAAATACTGGTGAAATTTTATATAAATTGCAACGTAATGGTAATACCAATCAAAGGTTGTCATTTGATATCGATATTGCGGGATCCCATTTGATTACTGGAAGTTTGGTAAGTTTTTCATTAGTTAATTATTTTGTTATAAAGGTTCTTTTTTTTTTTTTTTACAAAATTTAATCTTTTTTATTTATAGGACGGAAAAATTATTGTTTATGATTTGGTTAATCTCAACGCCAAAGGATGCCCTCAGAAAGTATTGGATATGCCGGCTCATGGAGGTGAATTTTTTAAAAACTTATCTCATTTTGAAATATTGTAATTAATGCTAAATTTTTTTGATTTATGTAGATGCAATTTCTGCTATATCAATTCATCCTTCTTTACAACTTATTGCTTCTTGTTCAGGACAAAGGAAGTTTAAATCGATCGATGCTGTTATATCAAAAGAACAAAATCGAAACATCACAAGTGATAATTCTCTCAAAGTTTGGAAAGCTAAAGGTGATTATACTTGGCGCTATTATAATACGGGGGGTGAAATTTTAATTCATAATACGGAAGGCGATGAGAATACAACAAGTAATCCTGAAGTGAATAATGTTGAAGATTATTTTGAAAATGATAAAGGAACAGTTAATATTGACAGCAGAGTTGTTGGTTTAGAAGTTGACCTTGCAGTAGTCGAAGAACAAATGAATATTGATAATAATATCAATACAACGAGTGAGAATGGAACTGACAATTATATAATGTCCTTTGTAAAATTTACTTAATAAATATTATGTCATTTTTGAAAATAATAATGGAATATTTAGAATTAAAGAGGCAAACAGTAGATGATGGGTTTAAATGAAATTTTGGCGGGTGGTCGAGAGCTTGCATATATAGATTCGTTACTTTTTTAAGTTCTCTTTGCAAAATGTATAATCGATAATTCATTTTATTCTTTGATCTATCCACAATGATTGTAAATTCTTTATATTAAATACGTAGATAATGTATATATAATGTGCGATATGTATAATAATAGATTATGACTCAAGTTTTGTTCTAATACGAATTAATGTTCATTTGATTTCTTTATTGAACTAGAACTTAAATGATATAATCAGCCTCTTTTTTTTTAAAAAAAAAAAAGGTTTTTGAACATAAATGATTATTTACTAAAAATAAAATTTTTTATTTACAAATACTCACAGAACTTACAGAAGAAACAATTTAATGTCTGAAAAGTTTTATTTTATTTTATTTTATTTTATTTTTTTTTACAAGCCTTTTCCTTTGGACTTCATTCTATTTTTTTTTTTTTTTTTTTTTTTTTTTTTTTTTTTTTTTTTCACAAAATTTTTTTGCATAAAACAAAAACTAATAATGATATTATTTTATTATCACATCATTGTTTTTTCATCTCGTTTTTGCAATATTAGTTTTAATTCTTACAATCGCACATAATAATTTCTAATTCTTCTAAAGTATTGTTATTGTTGAAATTTTTTTTTTCTTTTTTTTACATTTCTTTGTCTGCATTCTTCATAAAAAAATAATTATTTTTATTATTATTATTGTTATTGTTATTGTTATTGTTATTGTTATTGTTATTCACCCAACATAGGCGATGGCGACAAGTTGAGGAATTCGCTCAGCGAAAACGCTGAGCCTGGAGTTCTCACGCAAGTAGCCGACCTAATCTGGTGTGGCGGAGTACTAGGAACTTCAACTGATGTTTGCGACACTTCGCCGGAAGCTGCGTCACTTGCTGCCCAAGCATCTAATGATGCCTGGTAAGAAGAATGTCCTGCTTCTGCGACGCCGCGAACTTCAGATATCTCAGACTCGAAACCTATTGTCCATTCTCTACCTTTCGAACTCTTTCGAAGTCGTTTGTTAGCAGGAGCACCATATGTAGCCCACAAATCATCAAATTCCGGCCCGGGAGAGTTGGCTGTAAAACGGTCCCGTATCGACGGAGAGATATCAGCTAAAAGCTGATTATACATCGTTCCCGGCGTTACATTAGCTGCGTGTGCGGCCGAGTCAAAATCGTCAAACATTTTATTGACGTCAAAGTCCATAAGTGCGGGATTTTCGGCGACGATTTCTCCTTCACGAAACTTTCTCTTTGTTCCCCTTACGGGGGTTTGTGGCCGTTCTTCGTCTTCTGCTTGTTGTTGACCGAACCCGACCAAAGACGTACATGGTGAAATAACTTGTAATCCGGGAACCGTAGTTGACGTTTGGTTTATTCCAGAGGACGTCATCGATCCCGATGACGTCACAACTTGTCGACCCGTACCTATATGTTTTCTCGATCTTTTCCCTATGTTTGTTGCCTTCGTCGTTGTCGTCCTTTTTCCTTTGAGAGAATTCCTCGTCAACCTTCGGCCGGAATTTTTAGATGATTCGTTCACATTAATTTCATTTGCCAAAAGTGCTTGCTGCACTTGAACATACGTCATGTCACTTTTTGAAGCAACCTCCGCTTGTCGCCTTTTTTCTTCATATAATGCTTTGCCACGTTCCTTAATCGATGTCGAAAAGGGTGTCTCATCCTCATCATCAGATGGCCAATCGGATTTCAGAAATGCTGCTATAATTTGTGATCCATATTTCGATGAATCTTGTGAAATGTTTGCATCTGTTGGATAATATGTCTGGTCTGAATGAAATGGAAGAGAGGAACTCGTTGTTGGACTGTTCGTAGATATATGAGTTGAATCAGATAGATCTAACTCCTTTAACACTGTACAACCATCATTTACATTAGTTTCAAGAACTTGATTATATTCATCGTTAGAAGAATAATCAAGAAAATCAAAGTAATCTGCATCAATTTGTGTAGAATTCTCAGAGTTACATGTAAACCTTATATTGTTTTTATAAAGATTTTCCATCTTCATCTTTTCTTCGTATAATTGTGTAACAGTTGCTAGATTATAATTCTGCCACCCATTCTTGAGCTTGTATGATGCATATTGCAGGTAAAGTAAGAAATCGCAAGCGAGCTATATGTATATATAAGTACAGAAAAGAGGTAATATTATTTATTGATTTATACGTATTTAAGTACATGTTACATTATTGTTGAATAATTTGAAAATTTCTCTCGTAGGGGGCCAAGTGTACAGCAAAGAAAGAACAAGAAACGTTCAAAGATATAAGTGAACATATACATATTATAATGGCATATAATATGAAACGTTTTGTATAAGAAAAATTTACCTGGTGATCGTTACGTCCATCGTTGTCAGCCATAGGTATACCTTCTTCACGAGCCAATTTAATAAGCTTGACCAAATCTTCCAATTGCTGTTGTTCGGTGGTGTTTTGTTGCGGATTCATTTTGAGAACTAACCGAAAAAGAACCGGTGTTAATAGAAGTTATAACGCGATTGAAAGAAAAAGTTTCTCGGGGGAGGGAGAAGTTACAACAATATCTACATGAAGAAATTCAAAGAACTTTAAATTCAAAAAGTAATACCTTCGTTTTAGAGTTTATAAGAAAAGAAAAAAAAAATTTTTTTTTTTTCCTCAAAGCTCGCAAGAAGCGCGTTTATATATTCTTTTTTTGAGCATTTGCGTAACCGAATTACCCTACAACTCTATAATTCTCCTGATTAAATGAAGTTATTGAATTACTGATATCTTAATTTTTTTTTTTTTTTTTACAATAAACAGTATATATATATAAAAAAAAAGATTTTACAAATCAGAGATCCGATTCTTCGTGAAACGATACAAAGGATGAGAAACCGAAAAACTGAGATTTAATGTGTCAAATTGATTTTGAAGTCTTAATAACAGGGATAAATTTACAAATTTGGAAATAGTTCATGGATTAATAATAGTAGCACAAAAGTATAAAAAACGAGAATGCCCCACTTCTCGATGTACCATTCAAGGATGTTTGGACATTAAACGAACAATAAAAAAATGATATAATCGAGAAAAAATTATTGGATCACGCGTCCATCTCCTCCATCTTTATACTGCGCCTCCGTTTAAGGGAACGAATTCTTTATTAGTTTTGAATGAAGTATGAGTGGCCGAAAAGATTATTTGCAAAAGGAAGAAATGTCACGATAATTCCAATCGCTTCAAGAAAATCTCTGGTCATTTTTATTTTCTTTAAACATAGTAATATGTCTCCTTGGTATAATATTTTCGTTCTTTTATTATCATACAACCTAATAAATTACATATTACCTAATATAAATTGTTTTCATTTTTTATTAACTTTAAACCAAAAATCGTTAAAAAAAAACCAATGTTTGCAAATTTTATCTTGCATTTTCGTTGAAACTCACCATAATTATCCAATTTTGGATAAATGTAACGTGTGGGGAAACATCGTTTGCATATCAATACCATACCGACGTGAATAATTGATAATCTTCCGCAGTAAATTAAGATAAATTTTTATTCGTCACTTCCTAGTATGATATTACTCCGTTTGGCTTAGTGCATTGTAAAATCGAAAAAGATTATCACAAAATTTTTTTCTTTGGCAAAAATAAAACATAAAAAGATAAAGGGTATGTTGATTAAAAATTAAAAAAAGTTAAGACCATATTCTTTTTAATTCAGAAGGAGAATGTCGATAATTATTGACCATAACGCGAATGTTCGAAAATTCGAGAAATATCACGTGATATTTCAATCTTCGAATAATTAAAATATTTTTTAATAAATCAAATAACAATCTTTATAAAATTCGACACACCATAATCGTTTTTTAACAAATTTAAATTGATTCAATAGAAGACGTCTGTGGTGATTGGTTGATCAGTTGGTCTTTTGTTATTTTTAGATCAACTTTTAAACCTCCAAAGAACTTTGATAATAAGGATAATAAGGGTAAGTTAATTTTAATGTTTTAAAACAATATTTTGCGATAAAATGGAACAGCCAGCCACTATGTGTGGCGGGAAGATTCTCAAAAGTTCAAAAATGATTTTCCGAACATTTCTCAATCTTGTTTTTTACTTAGTTTGTATGGTGATACTATCGAAAAAGATAATTAATAATAAATAATCCCCATCATCTGTTGACATATGATGTTAGAACGTAATACAAATATGATCTTAATAGTTATGATATCATGATAGATAAATAAAATGGTTTCACGAATCTTCATAAAAGGTTGGGGGCAACCAACAAGATTCGCGGCTGGTTTTGGGAACTTTCGCATGTCAATCCATCAGTTCACTTATATTTATAACCATAGGGGGAGGCTTGTGTAGGTATTACTAACTAAGCTAACTAAGCGTCTAAGTATTATTTATGACGTCGCTCTTTCCAGTGACACATGAGACTTTTTTAACTGAAATTGAAAATTCTTATTCTAATATTAAGGTTGGTCTTCTTCACCTTTTGACTTATTTAACTTGTTTTTCCGTTTGTCTTGTGTTTTTTGTTTTTTTTTATTATTATTATTATCAAAGCTCCTCTAAAAAATTCGAAAATCTTTACAAAACCTCCTTTTTTTTTTTTTTGCTTTAACGTTTTCTCGGTATTTTACTTTTTGTTGCTCTGTTTCGCGATTCACCTTTTCCCCATCAATTTGTCCACCATTAAAACCGTCAAATTGACTTCAATCAACGCCTCATCAGGGGCGTGCAAGAAAACCATTATGGGACAATCACAGGTCAAGTCTACAAACGACCAACTTAAAGATAACTTACAAGATTCCCCAATGGTGGAAAATTCTGTGGTCACTGAAGCAACTTATACTGTGGTTGCATCCGACTCTAATGCTCACCATAACTTTAACTTACCTTCTATACAAGACTCACATTCGCAAGGTATTATTTCAAATTCCTTGTCTACTGGTATAGATCTTGGTGGTGCTCAAACCGAAAAAGTTGTTACTTTTACTTCTGATGGCAATAATTTTTTGGAATTAATTGATGATGGTATTGATGAATTTTCCTCAGATAATTTTACCATTTGTCTAACTAGCTCTACAACTATAGATTTTACAAATAATTCGCTTGCGAGTTCCCTCGCAGGCTTGACAATTCGTGACAACTCTGATAACAGACCTACAGCTTCGGTAGTACAAGCTACGAGTATTAAAAATCCTACTGTTAAGGAAATTCATAATGGACTATCGACAACAATTGAAGATAATAATAATATTATTTTTAGTCAAATTACGAATGATGTTTCAACTACAAATATAGGATCAACCATTACTTCAAATTTATCTGATTCAATACATAAAAAATCTTCAAAAGAAATAAAATCAACTTTAGCCGATGAAGCAGAATATACAATACCTCCTGCTATTGCTGAAGATGTGTTACGAGAGATGCTAGCAAATAAACCGAGTCAAGATTTATTGGAAGAATTAGAACCACCTTCTGTAACTACAAACGGTAAAGGTGATAATTCATCCTCTAAATTTAAAGGCGATTCGGTAAACCATGAAAAAATTGGTGAGTCCTCTGAACAGAGTAAAAATAGCGTCAAAAAGAACAATTTGTTAATCTCGTCTGGCATGACAGATTCCCCTTTTCCTTCCAAATTTACTTTTCCAAATATTGCGGACAAAAATTTCTTTGTACCGAATTTTTCAACCCCACCCGTTACCACCTCTCCTTCTTCATTTTCTTTCGGACATTCTTCCGAGTTACCGTTACAAAATTCTTTGCAAAATACTTTTCAAAATCCTTCCATTTCTTCTTCAAATTCTACCATCACTAATATTTCACAACAAAAAGATCATCAACGACGCGTGACTCTACAATGGCATCCCCCGGTATTAGATAAATTTTCACCCGTATTATCATCAAAAGCACCTTCAATAACGATGCCTTCAAGTTCGATGATATGGCCACCTTCGATTAATACTACTTCTCCGACCGATACACAATTTTCGAATTCTAATTTATTATTTCCACAGTTTACTGGTTCTTTTAAATTTGATATGAACTCAAAAAATATTGTAATAGGAACTCAAGGATCTTCTAATATTCCCTCACCTTTGATCCCTCCCACTAACGTTGTTGACAATAATAATATTACTACTAATACCGCGACAGTTCCTATGAGCTCCGATTCCACAAATGTTTTAAATGCGCCGCTATCATTATCTTCCACTGCATCGACATCGAGAAGGGGAATACATCCTAATGTTGGTGTAGGAAGAACAACAACATTATATGTACCAGCAAAATCACCGATCAAATCGGTTCCAAATTCAAGTGGTAGTAATCATCACGGAAATATTAAAACACCCCTAGTAGTTTCTCCGCCATCCAAGTTACCAATGAAATTTGGTGACATAAGCATATCTAGTACATCATTAACATCCGCGGCGGCGTCAGCGAAAGGAATTACAATTAACGTTAATGGTTCTAATAGTAATTCAAATTCCTCTTCTACAATACAAACGACACCATCACCTAGAGGATTTATTCATAATGCGACGAATGCTCCCACTCAGAGACAAATAAAGGAATTACCGAGAAGGGCTAAATTTCGTCCATTATCAAAGGGCAATAGCTCGAACGATGAAATTAACAATATCAATAATAATAATATAGTTAAAAATGAATCCATCGGGAATGGAGGATTTAATATAAAAAGCGAGATTATTGTGCCCTCATCATTACAACCATCTTTACCTGTTATACCACCGTCTCCTTTGTTTTCATTTGCTACACCAGTTAATTCTGAGGATGATGACGATTTCGATGCGGAGGAAGACGATGGAAGTAATGCTAATTGTCATACGGATTGGTTGGACAATGCAAATAATAAAAAGAAACGAAAAGCATTACAAACAGTTGGAGGTAGTTCAACTACAAGTGGGGGAGTAGGTGGTGTGATGAAAACATTAACGACAAAAGAACGTGCAAATCCACTGAGGAGAGTCGAAAGACGATCAACGCAGCGTAGCAATGTTGGAAAATTGTCCTCTAGTAGTGATTCTATGTTACCATTTGATAGTAAAGTTGTCAGTAAAGAATTGGATGGCATGAGACCACCGCAAACCACGTTTGATTTTTCGTTTAAATCAATTTCTGAAAAATCAGCAGCTGCAGCTGCAGCGAGTGTGAATGCGGCTAGTGCAAAACGACTGGCAGCTGTTTCACCAATACAAACGATGAATGCAAAGAACGATCCATTTTCTTCATCGTTGTTCCTTCAACAATCATCATCAACAGTAACAACTGTTGCCATACCTAGTAATACAAAGAAAAAAGTTTCAACAAAACGAGCGGCCCCATCTTCGACATTATTTAAAAATGAAGATGTAATATCAGCTAATAACAATCATGTACATCCACAATTTGTAAAGACACTAAAAGCATTACCACAACCACCTACACCGGCAGCCACACCTAAAAGGATGCCTAATGCTGGTCGCAAAAAGAACAAGAAAAAACCACAAATAGCTATAAATAATAATCAAAATATTCAGAATCAACTTCCACCGCCACAGCATCCTAATCAACATCATAATCAGCATCATCACCATCAGCATAATCACCATCCACATCATCATCAACAGCAGGATGACGCTTCTTCAACTTCTGGATCTGTAGATATTCAACATATTTCTAATAATAATGCATCAAGGCGTAAAATAAAATTTCCGGAAAAAAATGGAGATTGGATTTGTATGTTTTGTGAATATAGGCTTTATTACGGAGATGGAAGGCGATTGAGAAGACGGCCGAAGAATAACATAAATTCTAATAATGGAGATGGTGGCGGAGGGTTTAATACACCAAGTGATGGAGGATTAACACCGGACAAAGCTCTGGCGACTTAATTATGTTTATGAATTTATATTATATATAAGGTAAGTCGCTAAAAGTTGTTTTTCGTGTATTAAATGTAAATATGTATATATATGTAGTAACTAAAGAATTTTGATATTTAATATTCATTTTATTTATTTTCTATGGGTTTTGTTCGACAATAAAAATCACATTATGGAAAAAGGAAGAAACACAACGCGTCATGTTGATCTACTATTTAAGGGAGGTTTATATTCATTTATTATTTTTATTATCATTATTTTTATTCGCATTGGAATTTTCAATGTTCCTTTTTAGTGTTGAGAAAGGAATATGATATCTAGTGGTTATGACTCGTAATTTCTTTTCTCATTCAAAGATTAGAATTTGCGATCAATTGAAATTTGATGCAGCATATGCTGTTCGTTCGGCTTCTTTAATTATCTCATCTCTTACTCCCTCTTTATCGCGATGTATCAACACGTGAATAATTATTAAGAGAATTATACGCCCTTAATAGTAGGTATAATTCAATGATTTTTTTTGTTTGTTTGTGTTATTCTTCCTCCCCTTTTTAAGTTGCTTTACTTATCTGTAAGGTGATTGCTTTCAAGTTGTAACAATAAAAAAAAAAAAAAATAAAGGTCAGTTTTTTTTTTCCCGAGGGAACCGATTTCCGGTGTTTATAGTGTCATTATTACCCATTTGGGACGTGATCATGTGATGTGTTCCAACATCCCGGGGGCCCCTGATTGTGATGATTGGAACCTCGTCGTGATAATTGATGTGAAGTTTACTAGTATTAAAATGGTCCAAAGTGTACATGGTTACACTTATGTTACTTAGGAGAATTATTCCCAAAGTGTACGATACGGTTATTCTTAATGTGATATCTTCGCCCTATCATCCCCCATTATTGGTAGATTGATAATTAAAGTAATGATCGAAATCAAGCAATGATCGAAATAATCAAAATACAAATAATTTTTTTTTTAAACTATTTATACCTGGGGGTTTTTTTTAAACATCCGAGCCGGGTTGGACGAATTATTGCGGCATTATAAAATTTTCCGAGTCTGCCATTTCATTTAACAGTTTTTTTTTTTATATATTTATATTTACCAAACAGGCCTAGTCGAACAAAATTTCCAAAAAAAAAAGTTTGGCAACGTAGGGATGGAATAATAATGAAGAATTCTTTTTTAAAAAAAAAACGATGCAAAAAATTCACTTATATATCGCGTGATTATATAAAAAATATAACTATAAAAATGACCTTTTTTTTTTTTACCCAAGTATGAAAGGAATGACCTAAAAGTTGACAATTAGAACAAAGCGGATAGATTTATAATCTGCTAATAAATTATTTTTTACAATAATAACAATGGAGAACAATTACCCCCCTTTCATTTGAGAATCACAGTTATAGATTGACGAATAAAAATTATATTTTTCAGTTTGTATAAATGTAGTATAATTATATAGCAATTAAATTTTTAAAAAAAGTGCAAAATCTTAATGAATTTAGACGTAAAAAATACAAATAATAGCCACTACAGCATTTTAAATTTGACTAGTAAGTTTTAAACGAATCGTCTTGTGTGAAAAATATGAATTGTGAGGGAAGTTAATACAAAATTAAACAACTTGATTTTTGAAAAAAAAAACATTTAAATAAGTAAATTACAAAATTTGCAATCATATAGTCTGTATTTTATTTCAAAAACAAATTTTGTAATTCAAATAGCTGCCAAAATCAATTGATTATTAGATAGTAAAGTGTGCTAAAATCATAAAAGATATTGTAACATGATTTCTTTAGTAATACCGTATTCTTCCGAAAATAAGCAACACTTCGGAAAAAGTTGAAATTTTTTCTTTTTTAATAAAATTTTTTTTTGTAAATAAATAATTTAGCTTTATAAATATATTATAAATGCATTTTATTATTACAATTAAAAAAAAATATTATGAAATTACAAAATATTAGTGTCCATTCTTTTTTATATTTAACTGAGTATAAATTTTATATTTATTTTACAATTTTGACCTTACATCTAATAGTTTTAACAACTCTCTCCTATTTTGCCATTATAAATAAAATTTGATCATCAAAAATCATATAATTTAATAGTTATATGATTAAATTTCTTTTGTTTTATTAAACTACCTGAAAATAAGCAATACTATAACAAAAAAGTGTTGCTTATTTTCAGAAGAATGTAGTATATATTTAAATTAATTTAAAAAAATAAATATTATAATAAATATTATAATAATTATAATTTTGAAATAATCTTTCTTTATATTAATCAAAATAATCTAAATCAACTAAAATCAGATGGCTAAATTTAAGCTAATTTAAATATTATATATAACCAATTGATCATATTTTTTGATTATCTAAATTATTATTGATCAATTCTAATTAGACAAAATAATTTAACATCAATTTAGATTTAAATTTAACTATGAATCAATAAAATTGACATTAATATTAATTTAATACTTAAATTTAATTATAATTTAACTTAAAATATCATTAATCTACTCTAATTAGATAATAATTTAGAACTTAAATAACAATAAATCAGCCTAAAATTAATATCAATTTAGCATTAATTTAGTCAAATAAGTATATAAATTTGATATATTTTTATTTAATTAATTTTATTAAATATTAAAATTTTTATTAATAATAAAAACTTAATATAAATTCAAAAAATATAAATAAAAATATTATTTAAACTACTGATTAATTTTCTATTAAAAAATATAAATTAAAAAAATGGAAAAATTATGCAAAAAAATAATAAAATAATAATAAAATAATAAAATATAGAGTTCTAGATGAGTCAAGTTAACTTATGAGTAAGATAAATCAAGACAAGTTTAAATTAAATTGAGTTTATATTTTTTAACTTGATAATTTGTGAGTTAAATTGAGTTTGAATTGAGTTAAATATTTAACTCAACTCGATTTAAACTTGACTCAAATTTGATTTGATTTAAGTTGAAAACGAGTCTTACTTTTTAAGAATAAATAAACTAATTTATCTTAAATCAATCAATTTATTGATTGATTTATTTTTTTTTCCTCCATCCTGTCTTATTTTTTTTCTTCTTCTCCCTTTCAGTCCTTTTTCATATTTTATTTTATTTACATTGTAATTTTTTTTATTTTTTTTTTTATTTCTTTCCTTTCTTCTTTCTTCCCTTTCAGTCTTTTTTTTTAATTTTTTTTAATTTTTTTTTATTTTATTTCATTTTGTTATTTTTTTTCATTTTTGTTTTATAATTTTTTTATTTTTTTTTTTTCATTTTCTCCCCCTTTCTCCTTTTGTCAATTTCTTTTTTTCTGATTTTTTTTTTGTTTTTATATTATTTTTTATTTATATTTATTTCTTTTTTTCTCTCCCTCTCTCTCCATCTTTTTTTTTTTTATTTTCTTTTTTCATTATTTGTTTTTTTTTATTTTTTTTATTTTTGTATTATTTTTTTTTATTTTTATTTTTATATTTATTTTATATTTTTTATTTATTTTTATATTTGTTTAATATTTTTTCTTAATTTTTTTAATTTTTTTTTATATATATTTTTTAGAATAATCTTTCTCTCTCTCTTTAAGTCTTATTTAAATCTTTAGAACTTATCAATAAGTAAATTAATTTCTCCTTCTTGTTCTTCTTAGATTAGGTAGGCTTCTTTGAAAACATTTACTAATATTTCTCTTTTCTTTTTTTTTAGAATTGACTTTCTTTGAAATTTTAGGAACTTATTGGTAAGTAAATTCCTTTTTCTTAGATTGAGTGGGCTTTTTTAAGAATGTTTACTAATATTCTTTTTCATTTCTTTTTTAAGACTGGCTTTCTTTAGATTTTAGGAATCTATTGGTTAGTGAATTCCTTCTTCTTAGGTTAGGTAAACTCTTTTGAGAATGTTTACTAACGTCCTTACTAATATCGCAAAAGTTCAAAATTCTAAAACTTAGTAATAAACTATTTTTAAAAAAAAATAAAATTTTTTATTTAATGCTTTTTTTTTAAAATAATTAATTTTGATTTTTTTTTTATGATTTTGATTTAAATAAAATAATATATAAAATTTAAATATAATATAATTTAAAATAAATTTTTTTTTTATTTAAATATTTATAAATTAATTAAATTTTGACTCAAAACTTGATTTTAACTTGACTCAACTCAAATAAATTCAAATCAAAATTGAGTTGAGTTAAACTCAAGTTAAGTCAAATTGAGTCAAATTTAAAATTTATATAACTCAAATTAAATCAAATTATAAGATTTTATAAATAAATTCAACTTGACTTAATTTGAAAAAAATGAGTTGAATAGAGTTATTCTTTAAACTCAACTCAACTTGACTCATTCAGAACTCTAATAAATATAATCTATTTTCTCTTAAAATCTTCTGAAATTATCTTAATATTTACTATTATAATATTACTATTATCTAAAAAGTAAAGATAATAATAAAATAATAAAATAATAAAATATGATTAATTTCTTTTAAAATCCCTAAAATTATTTAGAAAAAAAATGTAAAAGATAATAAATAAAATAATAAAAATTAAAAAATTAATCTAAAATTATCTAAAAATATAAAAATAAGAAATAAATAATATAAATAAAATAAATCAATAGTGTTACGGTCAATTCTTTAAGATGCTTATGAGTGATAAGCAAAGCAATGTATATGGGTGGTAAGCAGAAGGTTTAATTTGATATTTAGATTTAGAAGAGTGTCAGTAAATTAACAGTT